CAACGCTTTCGTCCAGGGAGATAAACAAGAAGATTACATCATCATCGTAGCTGTCGTCGCCGCTGTCACGGTCGTCTTCTCCACCCTCATCATCGTTGCTATCTGCGTCGTGTTTCAGAAGGATCGACAGAGCCGCCACAAAGCCAGCCCCAAAGCAGCCTTCCATAACCTGCACGTGCCGGAAAATATGAGCGATGACGAAAAGGTGCACCAAACTCCCCACGACATCTCCGTGGGCCTGGATGTCCATCAACAATATTCCATGAACGATCTCTCGTCTCCGCCGGGACACCCCGAGAAAAGCCGAGACGACGGGAAGTTCTTTCAGACGAAACTCTCCTACCCAGAACCTCAAACCCAAAAGGGAGGTGGTAAAGCTGTAAGCTTCAGCCTAGACCAAAATGAAATGACGTCATCAAATCCGCGACATGTCTCGTCTCCACGTGAGGAGACTCCGCCCCTTTCTACGTTTGGGCCCGCCCACAATGGGCGTCCGATTGACGAGATGATGTTCCACCAGCGGTCAGCGATGACGCGTCAGGTCAGTGGTGTGACGTACTCACCGGTCAGCACGTATGTGCATGTAGGTACCCCCATAGCTCACCCTTAAACTTCTGCATGCCTCCTGTGTCTCTAATATACTCCTCTCTGTGTGCCCCTTCTTTTTTTTAAGGAAAAACAAACACACACAAAAAAACCTTCCAAAACCCCACTTATTATCATTCAAGTTAATTCATTTTCCCTCTTGGATTTCTCCTGCATGCTGCATGTTTTTGTTTGATTCGAGTGTCTCGAGTTTTTCCACACTTTTCGTGTTACCCCTTTCCGTTTTAATTTAAATTACATACATAAAGTTTCTTAATGACGTAGTTACATATTATGCACCGACAAAAAACTCACGTATGTACATGCTTTCGCTTGGTTCTTATATTTCATGCGCACCATTTTTTGGGTTATTATTTTATCTAATATACATATATTCATTTAAATTTGTCCTTGTAAGCATCACGTATCATGGATATATTAAAGCTTATAAGTACTTTCCCGCCTTCAATTAATCCCGATGTCCTGTATCTATTATTTTATTCCTGCCTGCAGTATATTTGCTTTCATGCAGTTACCGACAAAACTTCTGAAACAAAGTCAACGAATCGTTCCTGCATGTGCCTTTACAAACATTTACCCTTTTGCTTAAACTGTGTTTGTACCTACACATCTGTTCAGTATCCACTGATCGGGCAAAAGACACGCATGCGTATTTTTCTACTAAACTCTCTGTTCCCCCTTTTTTTTCTATGTGGTGGAGGCGTTTGAGGCTAAACTTTGCAATGTTAGTTTCAGTTAGTGCAAGCCGAGGATTTAAGTTGACACTGTTTCGTCTTCTTGAGTCATTAAGTATTACCTGTAAGCCTTTTCCGCTATATACGTCCTCTTTTTTCATCTTGAGAGTGCTTTTTACATCGCCCCGTCCTCTTTTATCTTGAGACAGGTCTTTATCGCCCTCTTCCTTTAACCGCAGTATTCTACAGTTTTTTTCCAGGTTCAAAAAGTTGATCCTAGTTAAAGTCATGCTTGTCTTGCTGGCATCTTTGTGTCCCAGAAAAAGTCAACTTTTTTTTCTTCTCCTCCTCCCTCCATCCGTACTCTCGTTCCCCGTCCGTCGCTCACAATCTTCCAATCCCCCGTCACATAACTGGATTACGTGCAGATTTGCTTCACACTGCATCCGCTTTCTTCTTTCTTCTTCCCACGGCTGTTCATCTTTCATGTTTCTGTCGCTCTGTCTCTCATAAAAGCCCCACCCCTTCTGCCCCAACTTCCCTTTTCTTTAAAATAAAAAAAAACACGTTTTTATTTTTCGGTATTTATCTCCATCTTTTGCCTCTTGCACTTTTGGCTTTTAGAAACGATTGATAATTCTGCAACACAATCCTTCAGGTTTCATCTTCATATCAAACTTTTTTCCCTCTTCCAATTTTTTTTCATCGTCTCCAGTCCCTGGTTTAGCCACGGCTCATTTGTAGGCTCATAAACGACGTTATTTCTGTCTGAGAGACTCAAATTTCTCAGTATTCCAAAAGCCTCTGTTTTTTTTTTCCTTCTATGGCGTTGTCGTATTTTTAGAATTCCTCCGAATCGCTTCCCCTTATCTGTTCTGTAATAATTTATGTCAAAACGACTAAAAATCTTTCTCTGTCCAGTATCCCAAAATTGGACCGCGGCACAGGACAACGTTTTTACCCCCACTCTGGTTAGATCTGAATCTGGGAACATGACGTGAATGTCTTCCTGGCCAGACTGTTAATACCACCCTCCCCCTCCCGCACTTTCTCTCTCTCTCTCTCTCTCACACACACACACACACACACACACACACACACACACACACACAAAGACACACACGCACTCCTTTCCCCTTTCCATGTCTTGGTATTTTTATCCTCACTGAAGTGAATTCTGTCATTTTGTCAAAAGGATTTAAACGTCCCACTTTCAATAA